TCCTAGCAAAGTAACTTGCCGGAAAGTTTTCGAACTGTGCCGTATAAGAAACCGGTAGCAAGATAAAACGATACTTTTATCTTTCTCTTTCTCTTTCTCTTTCTTTCTTTCTCTTTCTTTCTCTTTCTCTTTCTTTCTCTTTCTCTTTCTTTCTTCTCTGTTCCCACTAATAATAGAGCAGACAAGCCGCACTTTGCTTTTAGATTAAATGCCGTCTGGAAGAGAACGAATAAGAAGAACCCAATACAAGGTCGAGTGAATAAACGTTTGCTAGATATCCCTCCAGGGCCCCGTTTATCGATTATTATCGTTGGTTATGGTGATCCCGGTGATGGTATCGATACCCAAACCCCTAGATTGTAAAGAATCTTTCATTTCAATCTTTCCATGAGTATAATAACAAATTTTTATTTTATTTCTTTATTCTTCGAATCTAACTCTCGTTAAATTTCATCTCCCCCTTCCCATTCCTTCCTTCCTTACAGTCCCATAAAGATTATAAACCAAACCATATTCCCATCGTTGTTCGAGTAATCAAATTGTATAAATATTTTCTATAGACCGAATCTTTCCTGTGCACTGTACACTGAGACACGTTTTTAACGACTGACACACGTGTTAATGACAGAAAAATATTTTTAGAAAAGAGAAAATGAAAATGATCTTTTTTTGGATTATGTTTTCTATAGACTTCCCTCCAACCCACCCACCCCCTCTTGTGTTAACACATGATACGTATAATGCACATTTATACTTTAATAAAATATAAGAATGTAAATTAATTTCAATTTATTTTTCTCTTATGCAATATAAATAAACGATATATATCATATGCATAATACAAAAGTATTATCTTATCAAATAAAATTCAATCTAATCTAACGTTTATTAACCCCATACAAAAATCATATCGTCAATACGATGATATTACGAATAAATTCTTTTATAAATACAATTTGTTATAAATAAAAAAAGAAAAGAAAAGAATAAACCAAAATATTCTAATACCCCATAAAACATTTCGTTAGATAATTGAATAATATAATATAATATAATCTGACCGAAAGTAAGTAAACGTTGATATCTATAAAAAAAAAAAGAAAAAAAAAAAGTAGAACACGTTTTTAAAATTTCGGTTAAATTCGTTCCTAAAACGAAAGCCAACTGGTCGAATGATTTTCTCTTAGAAAGATATATTCCCCCCTTCTGTAGTTTCAATCTACCGTCTGTAATTTCTCTCTCGCCACAAAGCAATTAAAAACTTTTTTTTTTTCCCCATGGCTACTCACAAACACCATCACCAGTATCATCATCATGATGATGATCAACGGCAGCAGAAACAGCAGCAACAAAGCAAATCAAAGCAACAGGCATCACAGAAGCTGGACCTGGCAAATGTTTTTTTTTAGGTTGCCCCATGGCTTCCTGTGTTTAGTCGAATACCTAAAACTTTTGTTATATTATATTTTTTATTTTTTTTTTATTTTTCTTTCTAATACAAAGATAAAAGAGACATATATATATATATATGAATACACACACACGTATATACACACACACAAAGAAATATTCTTTTTGATTTTTTTATCTCTGTCTATTTCTCGCCCTCCCAACTCGCGAACGAAACCCACCATTACGAAAGTGAACGAACGAAAAAAGAAAGAACATTAATATATATTCACAAGATCCTTCCAAGCCCCCTAGAGATCATTATCTTTCGAAAAGGGGGACGGATAATCCAACGCTCGCGTACCAAAGCCCTTCCAGCCCTTTGTTAGGTTGCCCCGCGGATCATCATCAACGGCTGCGCCTTTGAATCTTTCTTCGCAAAACGAGAACGTTTTTTTTTTTCCTTCTCCTTCTTCTTCTTCTTCATCTTCATCTTCTTCTTTTCTACCTTTTACTTTATTTCTTTTCTTTTTTAATTCTTTTGCACGCGTAGGAACCTCTGATTTCGTATTCCTTCATATTATCTTTGCTTTGGGACAAAGGATCAACCAAAACAACGATCCTAAAACCTACACGTTATAATTGCATGATGTTTTTTTTATGCATTCGAATAAAAATAAAAAAAAAAAAAAATGTATAATGTATCTCAAGGAAAAAAAGATTCAATTCTAAACGAATTTTCTGAGTTTATTAACCTTCCTTCCTTTCTCTTCATTTCCTTTTTATTTTATTCTCGTTTTCGTAAAAAATAACCAACTGATTTTTTCCAAGAATATCCATTAAAGTAAAAACCAGCCCCGTATATATAACTTCTTTCTCTTTCGAAAAATGGTAAGCGGGGTCTATGAAAAAAGGGGGAAAAAAAAAGAGACAGAAAGAGAAAGAAAGAAAAAGCAAGGAGTCAGAATGAAAATATACTTCGATGCATCAGCATCATCTGCATCAGCAGTAACGGAGTAGCAGTCAAGTAGCAGTCACAGTAGCAGCACCCACCAGCACCCACCGGAAACATCAGCACTAGTATCAACAACAGCCCTTCTTCTTATTCTTGCCAACCAACATCCGTTTTACGTGTCCCTTATTTTCGAACGAGTCACAAAATCGTGAAATATATATCGAAAAAGGTTGGATTCACGTTCAAATAAATCCAAAAGAAGAAGAAGAAGAAGAAGAAGTATAGGTGTATAGGTGTGTATTTATAAGTATAGTAACATGTTTATTATACCTTGAAAAAAAAGATTGCACTTGTTGTAATCCTGTTGTCATCCCCCTCCTCCCTTTCCCACCCTTCCCCCATCCCCCAACTTCCCTTGTTGGGTTATAATCTTTGTTTCAAATCATTAAAAGGTATGTGTATAGTTTTATGAAACATGTATTGTATATATAACCTTATTGGTATGTATGTATTTCTATGGTATATGTATGTATGTATGTATGTATAAATGTAAATGTGTTGATGGTATGGCCTCAGGAGGGCCGAAATTATCCACGAAAAAGGGCCAATGTGTGAGCAAGTAAGCAAGCAAACTAGCAAGTAGAAAGCGTGTTGTGTTGTGTTGTGTTTGTGTTTGTGGGTTTCTCTCTCGCTTTAAATTACAACCAGGAAGATGGTTGGTTCCACGACCATCTGGAGCCTTTGTTTCAGCAGTAGGCTCCTCCTCGACCGTTCCCGAAGGAACGCGATACACCCGTCTCAAAATCTTCTTCTTGGAAGAACTTTGAAAATTAAGTACACCGAGAGATGTATCCTTTTATTTTTATCTTTCTTTCATTCTTTCTGTTTGTTTGTTGTTTGGTTTTTGGTGCTAAGTTCGAATAGTTGAACCCATAGGAAGAAAAAACAGAAATTTCTAAAATATTAAATGTATTTTGTTGCACGTAAAA